TTGCCCTTATAGGAAGCTTTTCCCGAACCCAGCATAATATAAACCCTATTTAATTCCTTATATTAAATAGGGGAATTTGTCGGCCAATATATTGGTTTCGCAGACCAAACGGATGTCATGACTTTCTCTAGTTTATTTGATCGAGCCTCACCCTCAATTCTTGTATTCATCCTTTGGGATAGATACAGAATTTGAGGTAAAGTGCTCTTCCATTTAAACTATGAAAATTATGGGGTCAGTTTCACTTCATCTTTTTCAAAACTAAATTTTTTTAAAAAAAAAAAAAACGTCCTTCCGAAGCGGGCAACGAGATTTCAATTCCGATGACCGACAGCTTCTTACGGGCAAACTCCACACCAAAAATAGTGCCGACATGAAGATCAAAATCAAAGTATGGTCAGCAGGCAACCTGTTCGAATTGTGGCAATGTTGGCTACATAAAAATGAACTGCAGGAATCCTAACAAGAAGGAGATTGATGACGCTAATAATGTATCTGAAGAAATACAGAATGCACTATTGCTGGCAGTTTACAGTTTTGTTGTTGACTGGAGACTGGATTTAGGGGCTTCCTTCCATACATCTTCCCGTCGGGAGTTAATGTGAAATTATATTGCAGATAACTTTGGAAAGGTATATCTGGCTGATGGAAAAGCTCTGGACGTGGTGTAGATGGGAGATATTGATATTGTACTCCCTAACAAAGGCAAATGGACTTTACAAAAAGTCAGACACGTTCCTGAGTTTAAGAAAAACCTCATCTCTGTTGGACAGCTCAATGAGGGTGGTCATTCGGTGGTGCTCTCAGATAGCACCTGAAAGGTTACCAAATGAGCATTAGTACTGACTCGGGGTAAGAAAATTAACACACTATATATGACTACAGGTTTACTCAGGTGAGGACACATTAGTCAAATGTGCATTATGGGAAAGCAGAAGAAGGTCAGCTTCCTGAAAAGTAGCATAATGTCAAAGATAGGAAAATCGAACCTTGTAAATGGTGGAGAACCATAGAGCTATGAAGAAATCTTGCAAGATGAGAATTTGAGCAAGTGGGAGCTGACCAAGGAGCAGATGAATTCCCTACCAAGGAATCAAACTTGCGAGCTGACATAACCACTACCAAGGAAGAAGGAATTGCACAACAAGTGGGTGTACCGGGTGAAGATTGCGCTTGATGAGAGTAAGAGGTACAAGGCTAGACTTGTTGAAAAAGAGCTTTCAACATGGGCATGATATTGCTCATGCAGTGGGAGTTGTAAGCAGAAACAGGAGTAACCCAGGAAAGTGCTTGGTGGCACAAGGCTACGTTGACGGTGATATGTTAACTGAGGGTGTTACTCGTGAGAGCGGAAGTTGTGCTCGACCTCAGCTGGTCTTCTAGCATGAAGACCAGGGCTTTAAGTTGCAAAGGTAGAGGATATCATGTTTGAAGAAAAAGTCGGTACAACTAGTAGATGATGCAGTCAGTAGGTGATGCAGTTAGTGTCTCAGTCTCCAGTGGGAGAATTGTTGGGTAATGTGAAGATTCAGTCCACCGCAATTTAATTAACTTCCTAATTAAGAATATCACATGCCTTCCCACCTACCTACCACACTCACCTACCTCTCATTTATCTCCTACCTACTGTTCTCCTAGTTTCTATAAATAGTCTCTTATGGCTTGTCTTAAGCCACAAGCCAAGCAAGGGCCAAGCCAAGTCATCTAAGATAGAAAGAGAGGAAAGAGATAGAGAGAGGAAGGGAGAGAAGAAAATAGAGATTTTTTTGTAAATGTCGAGGCGCTCGACGATGTAATTCCTCGAAGTAGTAAAATCCTCTGCAGCTCCGTGGACATAAGCAAATTTGTCGAACCACTTAAATCTGTGTCGCTCTGGTGTTTTTCAGTGTGCAATTTTTCTCGTTTCATTTTTCGCTTTATTGTTGTTCTTTTCACAACATTAAATTCTTTTTTAGGCTCATTCACTAAGTTAACGAATTGAACACAAATTTTGTTCGTGTTCGACTCGTTGTTGGTGTCATCCGAACTTGTTTCGAAACAGCTTAGACATATTAGTAAATGCTGAGCCGCCCGATCTAGGATCATTTGATTAATCACTTTTTAGTATATCAATAAATATACTACTGATCAATATATATATATATAATTGATGAGTAATATTTTAAAAATAATTAATTTACTAGAATGCTACAAAGATTTATGATCAATTAAAAGTATTAATTAAGAAAATATAATAAAAATTATTAAATTAGATTCAAATGATGTTGTAATATAAACAATTATTTTTAAATATTACCCTAACCCTTAACTTCTTGTGGCTACGTGATTAGGGTTGTCAAAACGGCACTTCATTCGTGAATAGCTCATGTTCAACTTACTAAGCAAACGAGCCGAACACGAACACACTTTTTGAGCTCGAATATAAATGAGCTAAACATGAGCTGAGACTGGGCTTGTTTACACCCCTAGTTTTGAGTGATCTATGTTTAAAAACTTATATTGGATCAAGAATTTATTGTAATTGTATTGCACAATAATATGCGGCCGCGGGCACACGCGCGCACACACACACAAATATATATATATATTAAAAAAATTGGTCAGAGACTATGATACAAGCCCATATATATATATATATATATATATATAAAAAGTAAGAGATATACTAAGTGATCTTAGAAAACAATATATCATTCTTTTTTTTTTTTGAAATCACTAAATGATAAATGAACTTTTAAAATTTCTTTTAGGGAGACATCATTTATTTCTTCTATGAAGAATGCGAAGGGAATTGTCTAAGTCGAGTTGATAAGCAAGTGGGGAAAGAAGACACAAAGAATTCATATAAATCATGAGTCAAGTCAATCATGATAACAATTCGATCTTTATTATAGGTTAGAATTCTTTTATTATTTCAAGAGGAGGTGAGGAAATAATCTCAAGAAGAATTGATTTTCATCGTCTTTGTGCGAGGTTAGACACTTTTGGAACCTAACATCCTACTCCTTTTTTACTTGCTCTTGCTTCTTTTTTAGAACGACTTCATCCGTTATTTTCCTTTTTATTCGAATATGTAGGGTCTGTTCGGGGCTGTTACAACAAAAAATATTTTTCAAATAACTGCGGTGACTATTATAACTTTATTTAATTTTCAAAAAATCATATTACAATTTTCTGACAGTCAACATACTTTAACAGCTTGGGTTGAAAAAAATAGTTTTCTACCACAAAAGACTTTTAAAAAAGCAGCAAGAAAACAATTATACATACAAAACTATAGTGGCAATCGGAAAAGCAAAGCAGACGGAAAACTGTCTCAAACATGCCCGTAGTTGTTGAATGGCGAGGGGAACCAAAAGATGGAGGAATTTTGTAGATTATAGTGACTTCATCTAATTTTTTACCCCGGAGGGTGATTTCCTTATATGTTATAAATAGTGGAGAAGAAGGTCTCACCCCACAATTGAAGGTCCAACTGTAGGAAGAATAGCAACTCTGCCCACAACTTGCTATTTGGCCTCTTCTTGTTAAAATGACTCATTTTGAAGTAATGGGTCCAGGCATTTAAAATGACTCACGGGTTAGTTCAACGCTATAGTGTCGGGCAATGGCGCTATAGCGCCATGCTTAGCCTGATGAACAACGCTATAGTGCCCTTCATACCCATCCAGATTTTAAAAATTTTGTATATTTGAAAAAGAAATAGAAAATCTAGACATTTAACTCAACCAATGATTTTTATTCAATAAAATCAGTTGGACACACTTAGCCACAAAACTGCACAAAGTTTTCTGTTTGTAGTTGTACTAGATAAAAGTGTTCGCTGCTCTCCTTGCTCGCCAGTATTTTCGTCTCTATCCATCCTCCATTTATCCAAAGAGTTTTGTTTAATAATTCATAAACAAAGTGCCGGTCTTCATTTCTTATCAGAAATCTCCATTTAGTAAAAGTTTATATCACATCTTATAATTAAGAAATCCGTTATGGAGACATTTTCCACGAGGTGTTCTTGAGATTACATGAGTAACCATAAAGCTTAAAAGAGGAAAAACGACATTTTTTTGTTAAAGCTACAATATTTTGATTACCTCCCATTACTTCCTTTAACTTAGTCCTTTCCACTGTCCTCCAATCTATCATTGGGTGAATCTATCATGATTTTTGAGTTCTTCAGCTCTTCAATCTGTAACAGAAGGAAAAAAATGCAAATCTATAAATCAATATAATAACAGTGTATAACCAGAGTTCCGTCGCATAGATAACATTGTTTGTGGCTGAAGTTAATAGCCCAAATTAATGATGGTTATTTGCGTGTTGAACTTTTCATGCAATAAAATAATACTAATGCAACGAAGCGGATGAGTATGTAATTCAGAACATGTTAACGGGAGGGGGCAGCCTGAGAAGTGAGAGCACTGTTTTTAAGTCACCTACAAGATTCAATCATCTTGGTTAAGCCTAGTATAAACGGTCAGACCGAAGCAACCAACAATATAATATATATACATATATATATACACACACACACAGATGCGCGCGCGCACACACACACATCTCAACAAAAACTGAACCCTAATGACAGAAGCATAATATATATATATATATATATATAAAGCACAAAGGATAATATATTAAATAGAAAGAAAGATAAAGATACAATGTGTAGGAAAACCCAACTATGACACTCTGCCCACACAATAACAACAAATGGTTCAAAAACTAAAACATGAAGAAAAGTACATGAGAAATTTAAAGAAAAAACCTAAAAGTGTCGAAGTACATAGTATAAGGTGGCTAGAGAGCGACCCAATTTGGCCTTACCTCTGCCTATAGTTCTAGGGAAGGAGTCAACTAATAAATTGGTAAATATGAGTGTCATTGCCAATAGTAATCAATGTACCATCCAATAAGTTCCCAAGCTCGATTCGGTCTCCATTCTTCTTCTTTCTCTTCGAATAAACCTGTCATTCCTCATCCGAAGATTGTCTCACCTGATCAGTGAATTATTCTGCAGTGTGTCGGGCATGTGTAGATTGTTGAACAATAGAAGCAATTACATATTGTACCAGCTGATTTTGTATTGGATCAAATGAGTACTCTTGTGTGTCTTAGCATGTAAGTGAACCCTCTTCAATAACAGTGAGTGGTATAAGCATGACTGGATCTGTAGTTGTAGTATGGTGTACTTCGTCAGGAACTACGGTGTTGGAAAGAGGATCGGGTTGCATTTTCTCAACAGAGATGGTAGGTGACTGATCTTTAACGATATGCGACCTTAGATGAGAATGCAAACGATAACAAATAGTATAATTATGGTCAAACATACTGTAATGAGAGCAATAACGAGGGTGTGGTTTGTTTTCAACTTTTTGTCAATACCCGTTGTGCGTGGTTCCAATTCATACCTCATCCGGAGCTAGTTGACTGATATCCCTCTCAACTAACACACAAGCCACAGAGGGTCCGGTGACAGCAAGGGTATGACTATCAACTTTGAGAGACTTACCGTAAGCAGTTGCTAAGGAGTAGAAAATTTTCAAGTTGAACAGGTGTAATTTTAACCCCGAAAACTTTATCCAAACAAGATTGATAGAGGACTCCGCTTTTGGATCAAAATCAACAGTGTACTTCAGAATTTTCATATAACGGTTGTCGATTTTGATAACTTTCTAAGAAAAAAATGCGAATGTAATCGGTATCGTGAGATAACTGAATCAGTATGTGTCGACCGTCAATGTGTCGACCGTCAAGTAAACATCAAGTAAACAAATATTTCAACTACCCAACAGCTTCATAGCATCAAATTCTTTTCAAATCATCTCAAGTTTTGGGTGAGCATAAATAAATTTCCCCTCTATAGCAAAACGACAAGAAGATGCGAGAATACTGGTTTCAACCTCTGTGAGAATAAGAGCAGACATTCCAATTTTTTTCCAAGTTTTTTAATGAAGGTGTGATCACCACCACCTTCAAGAGCCTCGGCAGATTGTGGAACATTGCAAGACTTACCTATATGAAAACCAGTCTCTGAAAGAGGAGTAGAGAAGTTGTTGGCAAGTGCAGTGACATAGCAACGGATAATCGATGTCATCTCTGTCGACAAGATGGTGTCTGTCAAGCAGGGAAGCAACAGACGTCTAAAATAGCGAAATCGACGTCGTCGGGAAGGAGACGACTGCGAAGGAAGTGTCATGGAGTAACGAGGACTTCGTCTGGAAGGAATGGCGAAGTTGCGTCGTCTGGAAGGAATGGCGAAGTCGCGTCATATGGAAGGAGATGATTGCGAAGGTGTCATCGTGCAGGACGTGAGCCGCAACAGCACGGGGCGTCATCGTCTATTACAGAGACGACGCGAGCGAGCGTCGACGACAAAAAAGTCTGCGAGCGAGCTTCGTCGAGAAAGCTGTGAGGAAGTGAGAAAACGAGGAAATTACTGTCGGGAATCACCATACAACGAAACCTTAGCAGAGCCCGCTGCCGCTGCTAACGCCATTATTATTATTATTATTATTATTATTATTATTATATATAACTAGCGTTATGTCACACTCTGCTATCTTCAAGAAAGTGGCAAGACAACCATGGGATGGAAGATTCTAGAGAAGATCAAAATGTAGAGAGTCATCCAAGGGATTCTAGAAATTTCCACCACATTTTGGAGTATGTTATAAGGAAAAGCTCATGAATAACTCAAGAATAACCTATAAAGATCTAGGGCTAAGAGAATGATGTAGAACTATCAAGAAACGACTATTCTAATGTAATATAAAAAGTTCTCTTAGGCTTGGAGAGGACTATAAATAGGAGTCTCTCCCCCTCATTTGGATCCATCCAAGCATTCATCCAAAAAAACCTTCTAAGCTTCCAAACATTCAAGTGTTGTAATCCTTCTTTCGTAGTGAAGTGTTCCTTTCTCCAATACTTCTCCATGTTCTTCTTCCAAGAGTGTTGTGTGTTTACAAGTCCAAGTGTTGTGAGGGTTAGTCTGATTTAGTACTAAGGAAGAGCGCTAAAGCCGCACGGTTGACTTGAGATAAGTTAGTCTGTGACAATTGGTATCAGAGACAAGGTTCAAAGGCATGACAAAGATCATTAAAGAACACATAATGGAGTTTGAAGCCACTAATATGGAATCATCTCAATAAGGGCAAGGTTGTAAGGAGCAACGAGATTCAATTGCATCCAAACCACATGGGAGGTCCAAGGTGATCATGAGTGGCTTTGATTCACGCTTTGCTCGGATGGAGGAGGCGATGAATGACGTGGATGCCCAGATAAAGGATCTTGGCCAAAATGTTGATGAACTCGAGGAGGACATGACAATCCATTCAATGATCAGAGGTATGATGTTAAACCTAAAGGAATCCTTAAGGAATCAAATGGCTAAGATGCGGGAGATTTGATGGGGGAGCTCCAGGAGGTACGAAGAGCCCATGAGGACGAGATGAGCGGTGTACATGCTAGCTTGGAGGAGATGCGTGGAGATATTTTGCTATGCGAGAGGGCACTAGCGACACCCACCAACCACCATACTTTTGAAGCTAAGCGGATTGAAGTTCTAAAACCAAAGAGTTTTGGAGTTTGCAACACGAAGAAAGTGGATAACTTCTTATGAAGATTTGAGCAATACTTTGGAGCGACGGAGATTACAGATGAAGAAACAAGAATACAGTTTGCAACTCTTTATATCGCAGACATCGTTATGCTGTGGTGGAGAAGAAGACGAGGAGATAGAGAAAGGTATGTGCACCATATCCACCATTGATGACTTTAAGAAAGAGTTAAAGAGACAATTATATCCCAAAAATGCGAAGGATGAGGCTAGAGCCTGATTACGAAGGCTCAAACAAGAAGGGTTGATTCAGGATTACATCAGGGAGTTCACAAGCTTGGTTCTTCAAATTCCCGACATGTCTGACAAGGATGGACTCCAACCGTGGGCAAAGACTCAACATAGGAGGTGCGGAGTACAAAATATTGTCATTGTCATTGTGGTTGTTGAAAGTTTAATTGGTTATTAAAAAGAATCCACGAAACCTAAAGATACAAGAGTACTTATGTCAAGGGTGGAGAAGACAAGGATCAACACAAGGAAGAAACTCGCCACAAATCGACTTCATCCAAGGCAAAAGCAAAATAAAAGTATAAAAATGATAAAACTAAACCACACAACAAATGCTTTCTTTTTGATGAACCATGTTGGGCAAGGGATTGTCCTCATAAGAAGGCTCTAAACTCTCTTTGCAATTCATCAGGAGAAAGAAGGTGGTGATACGACGGCACAAAGGTTATACAACTGTTGAATGAGATGCAAGCTTCAACAAAACCCCAAGCAAAGGGGTTACTCTTTGTGGAGATGATAATAGACGGGAAGACCATTAGAGCAATGGGGGACACAGGTGCTTCTCACAACTACATCTTCGTCGAAAAAGCAAAAAGGTTGGGTTTGCGAATGAATGAATTAGGAGGCTCCATCAGCAAAAAGACTAATCCATGGAATAGCTAGAGGGGTAAGACAAGTATTGGGGTGTCATTAGGTACCTTGGACTTCTATGTCATTCCGGTAGATGATTTTAAAGTTGTTCTAGGGATGAACTTCTTGGATCAAGCAAGGGCATTGGATCAAGCAAGAGCATTTCCAATGCCCTTTGCCAATAGCATATGCATCATGGAAGAAAACTGAGCTTGCTTAGTACTGATAACAAAAGATAACAAGCAATAAGTCAAAATGTCATCGGTCATCCAATTCAAAGGGGGCATTCCAAAAGACAAGGGGAGTTAGTTGGTTGTTCTTCAAGACTTCAATGAGGAAGGGAAGCCCCAAGATGACATCCCAAGGGAATTGGTGGCAGTGCTTGAGAAACCTAAAGGTGTTTCAAAAGAACTACCACCAAGAAGCAAGAAAGATCATCAGGTTAGGTTGGATCCAAGGACTGAATCACCAGCCATGAAGTTTTACAGCATGAAATGCCTCCCCCAAACAACCAGCTATGAAGGGAAAAACTCAATAGCTTTCAAGTTTGTCAAGTCAGTGAGCAAACAAAGGGAACTGATCCATGTGTCACTGCGTAAGACTACAAGAAGAATTACAAAATGGGCAGACAAGAAAATGAAACACAGAAACAAGTGAAAAAAGAAAAAATCGACAATATCAAGTGGAAGCCGTAATGGTGGCATGACGAGCTTAAGTGGGGGAGACCGTCACGCTCCGCTAGCTTCAAGAAACCAGCAAGACAAACATGAGATAGAAGATTCTAGAGAAGGCCAAAATGTAGAAAGTCATCTAAAGGACTCTAAAAGATTACACCACATTCTGGAGCATGTTAGAAGAGAAAAACAACAAGAATAACTCAAGAATAACCTAGAAAGGTCTAGGGTTATGTATGTATATAAGAGAATGGTGTAGAACTATCTAGAAACTACACTACTTTATTGTAATCTAGAAAATTCTCTTAGGCTTGGGGAGGACTATAAATAGGAGTCTCTCCCCCTCATTTGGATCCATCTAAGCATTATCCAAAAAAACCTTCCAAGCTTCCAAGCATTAAAGTGTTGTAATCCTTCTTTCTTAGTGAAGTGTTCCTTTCTCCAATACTTCTCTATAGTCTTCTTCCAAGAGTGTGTGTGCTTACAAGTCCAAGTGTTATGAAGGTTAAACTTATTTAGTGTGAAGGAAGAGCG